TGAGAGTTGCGCCTGCAGTGGAAGAGCTGCATCATCCTTACACATGTGAAGCAAGGTGGGTTGGAGAAGAACTATAAGCTCGTACACTTAAGTAAAAGATTTCCAGGCCCCGTTCTCTAGGCAGCATGTCATGACTTCCCCTGTCATCTGCAGGTTTTCACTACCAGAAAAAAAGATAATATTTTCAAGCAGAAGGAACACTGAGCAGATATAACTTCTTGGGTCGCTGCATGCACATGTTTTGTCTTGTGCTTCCAGTATCCAAAGCTATATCATCTCTCTCGGTAGGAAGCAACCTCACAGTGCACAAGAATTATCTAGCATTGTGCAGCATTCCGAAAAATGCAGGCTCCTCAAAATGGAGATATTATCAAGGAGGAAAGCAGAGAGTCATTTTGAAAATATATTGCTAAATATAAGAGTTACACTGAGGGCAACATGAACAATTTAAACAACAATCATCCAAATTCACAGAGTCACATTCTGACCACACTCAGGAGAGGGGCATCTGCTACTGCCAATACAGAGTACAAATTTCATTTGTAGCATACTGTTATAAAAATATTTTGGCACATGAGGAAAATTTCAAACAAGTCAAGTATGACTTCCTCTGGGCTGGAACGTTAACATCTGTTTCGCGATGGAACAGCAATGCTGCATTGCCACTGAGTGTAAGAAATTAAAAATCCATTACTACAAGGAAGTGTTAAACACAAATGGAACGGCAAGAAGAAAACAGCTCGGGAAGGGGATATTGAAAGTACAGACTATAGAATCAAGTTATATAGAACCTAGTGGGGAAACAAGGAAACACTCAAGAACCAGCTGCAAAAGAAGAAAATTTAAAGCCTTGCATTGTTAACAATATTGCTAATTCAACACCATTTTATAAAATTTCATCAGAGGTCACTATCAGAGGAACTTAAAATCTAGATCTTGACAGTGGGAGTGGACAATACAGGGACACTAAGAGGATGAGGAATGTGTGGGGAGGATCCCTTTGACCAGCAATGTCCCAGACTGCATTTAAGCTGTTTATGAAACGAATATGAACGTATGGAGATGCCTTCTCCCAAACCAGACCATTGCTCCATCTAGCTCACCTAGACTAGCAGGCTAATACTGGTTGGACCTGCAGCAGCTCGCCAGGGTTTCCAGCAGAGAGAGGCCTTCTCCAGCTCTTGCTGCCCTGAGATCTCCACATCAGGGTGCCAAGGACTGAGCCACAGCCCCTCCTCAAAGTGCGTTGATGCCCATGCCTTAAAGGAGGCCATTAAAAACATACTCACATAGAAAGCCTTTAACTTGCAGTCATCTTCAATTTCATCAGCACTGTCTTCATCAGAAACTTCCCCTTCTTCAGCATCTGCACCAAGGCTAAAGGGGAGCTTTTTACCCTGAGAAGGAGGGAAAAAACTGTGCCTTAATGACAGCAGAAATTACAAAACAGCTGCCCTCGCAGAAGAGGCACAGTAAAGCAAGCATTTCCTCTTTATTTGGACTGATTTCAACTATTTGAAGCCTGTGAACATGTCCTTACAGTCTTAGAAGCAACCAGAGCCTCCAGGTTTTCCTCAAACCATCTGCTAAGTATATCATCTATGAAAAATCCCCATAGAATCCTTCTGAACTTCTGAAAATACTTCTTTGAGTCAGAAACATACATACAAGGTCTTAGTAATAATTCCAGAGGGGTAGCTGTGTTACAGCGCCTTTTTAATGAACATTTTATTGGAAATAAGCCCCACTGAATAGACCTGAGCAGAATTCTGCACAGACCTGCTCAGGATTGCATTCTCAGTCTGGTAGTAGAAAAAGAAAACAGAAGTTCAGCGGCACCTAAATGCCTAATTATTTATTCCAGCCTAAGCTTTCATGAATCAGCCCTTACGTCATCAGGTCCTCATAGTGTTCAGTAAAGTGTTACTTTCTGAGCCGTGGAAGTGCTATAAAAACAGCAACGTGATTTTTCATGGAGAAGTATCGCACTATTAATTGACAGCAGTGTGGAATTCACTTTTGTTACTATGGGTGCGTTCAGATGTGCCGTTTGATCTGGTGTCGTGACAATTCAGCAACGGATTTTATACGCACGATCACAGAGTCAACATCTGCCTCCCGTTCCCAGCTGTTGGTTTCTGGCTCAAAACCGCTTTAACCCAGAGTATTTTGTTACCAGGTCCCAAAGTGGTGTTTTCTCAGCTCTCCCATTTAAAGATGCATTTTCCCCTGTGTGATTGCTCCTCCAGTGTCAAGCCACTTCCGGTTTAAACCCCCTCCCCGCTCGAAAGCTGCCTGAGGCTTCCGTTTTTCGCCCGCCTTTGTAGCATCGGCAGTTTGCACATAGGTGGAGCTCCGCTACCGTGTTTAGAAAACCAACATTTAAAAAGTCACTTGTTTTAGAGTTTAGATGAGTTCAGGATCTCACAGAGGCCATTTTTGGGTCAAACGTTTAAAGGGAAGTCTTTCGTTGGAGGGGTTGGATTGATTCGCCCTGGTGGTTCTGCACATGCGCCATGGTAGTTTCACAGGCCCCCCATTCTACGGATGAGCACCTATGCGCATGCGCAAACTGAGAATTAAAAAAACCGCCGACACACGCTCCCATGCGTCGGTAGTGTAGACGCCGGGGAGCAACATGACTTTGCGGTGAGGCGGGATAAGGGTGATCGTGTTTATCCAGGTCAAATATAATCCAGTCAGAACCAGAGCAGTTTAACCCGCTATCAGCACGCCATCTGACCACACCCTATATTTGTTTTTTTTCCTCTTGGAAGTTCTGTTTCCTAGTTAGCTATCTCTATTTTAGAACCAAGCAACATGTTCAGAAATACCATGGTGTACACCTCTTTCATATGACCATATAATTCAGATTGCAGTAGGGAAATTACATATTTGAACAGTACACCCCACATACTATCCCTGAACACAAAAAACTAGATCTTCAGGGAGGGGGCAATTATTTTCATGGAAGGCTTGGGGTTTTTTTTTAATACAGGGAAGCATCCAGCCTGAAGTGGTACAGTCCTAGACAGCTGAATAACATGACAGTTCTGAAAATGTAGCTTGCTTCAAATACATGCTATCTTTTCCAACTCCTATACATGAACGATGGAATTTAACAATCAGTCCATATTGAGAAAAGTTGCAAATTCAAAACACCTCTTTAAAATGCCTTATAATCATTTCAAAGTTTCTACCACTCATGTATATGCTATGGGCAGTCAAGTATTTCAGTCAAACAACCTATGAAGAACTAGACAATGCTGCATGCTATGCTGTGGGAAACATCTTTCCATTCTGGTGTCAACCCCCACAGACTTATTACAGTTTAAATATGAACTACGCCCCTGACAGTATATAAAACCTTTAAAAGATTTCCCCGTTGCTTTTAGAATTTTATTTCAGAATCTGTTGAGCAGCACGAAAATTAACAGATTTGTCTGTTTTCCTGCTTCTGACAGATATGCCCTAAGGACTGCTGGCATTCCATTTTAGTATGTTAAACATTTGAGACACTAATGGGTCATAACAGGCCTGCAAGCACAAACGCAAACAAACACGCGGGTTCCATTTAGAAGAGTGGGAGATCGGTTTATATAATACAGCACGTGCTCTGGGAATATTTCAGTAACAGTTGATTACTATAACATAATTCCAAAAAAGATGGCTCTACACCCTGCTGTGGTGATAGGCACCCTTCCCTAAAATCTCTTTCCCTTTGTGTCTAAAAAGAAACTATTTGTTTGTGTCACCATAACCCTAGGATGATACCAGCTAGAAGGAAGTCTCACTGGGGAGGTGGATAATGCATCACGAAAGAAAGACACAGGCGCCCCAACATCTGACAATTCTGAATGTACAAAACAGCCTGGACAGCTGGCAGAAGGATTAGTGAATGGCTTTCCCCAGACTTCTAGACTGGAATCACCATTGAGGGGATGATGCATATATGTACACCCAGTTTCCGGCTGCAATTAAGCCAATTGGATAACTGAGCCCGAGAGTTCAGCTAATCTATAAAAAGAGATCCCAGCCATTGTTATTTCTCTTGTCCTGTTCAGTTCAGCCTGATTTACTCCTGTTAGTTTTTGACCTTTTCACACTGGCGACATATGGAAGAGCTTGAACCCCTAGGGCCATCACCAACATAAGGCATTTTAGATTGCTAGAGAACTTATCCACCTAGCTTATACATTTTATGCTTTTATTTCCTTTTTGTTTTTTCTGGGATTCTCTGAGTCTTTTTTGCTCCTCACTTTTATCTGTGTCAACTCCAACTGCATCCCAAGGTCTTTCTCCCTTATTTGTATCCAAATAAAGGCTTTTGCTGTTCCTTGGAAGAAGTTACCACTCCCTCTTCCTGAGCTCTCATCACACATTCTGAAACCCTCACAGTATAGCTACCTTAAGGGAGCAAGAAAGGAAAACCTGGTATGGAAAGTTAATCCTGTTTCCTTCACTTATAAAAACCCAATCAGGCTGCTGTCCAAGGTCCTGACTAAGTCAACAAAGTCCTCCTGTGGGCACCTTTATCCAAATGACTTCTGCTTTTTGTTCCTGTCTCCCCTAATTTTGGGGCAACATCTTCCTTAGACCACCACATCACTAACCAGGAACATTAGTTTTACTCCCCAAAGCAAGTACACTGCCCATTCCAACCTCTGGCCCTGTGCAATCTCAGCATAGTATGTTGGATCATATGTCAGCCAGTGTGGTGTAGTAGTTAAGAGTTCTGGATTAGGCCTGAGGAGACCAGTCCCAATCCAGCCTTACTGGATGACCTTGGCTAGCTATTCTGTCTCACTCTTAGCCTGGCTGACTATTCTGTCTCACCTCCCAGGAATGTTGTGAAGATAAAATGGAGGAGGTGACCTCCTTTTTGTATTTTGTTCTGCTACCTGTGGGGCCTTTTTTCCAACACAAGGAGCCTTCCACCAGCACAATACACCACCTGGATGAAGATTTTTTTTTTTGCACTGGATAAAGTCTCCATCATTAGCATATACTAGGACACAGCCCATTATGTTTAACCATGGCTTGCTTTCTTGAACTCTGATTAAAACATTATCTCTGAATATCTAAGTAATGGTTAAGAATCAGCCACAAACCAGGGCATGAAATCATGGTTCGAAGTTGGTTTTCAAACCATGGTTTTCAGTAGCCATGGCTAAGCATAGGTTCTGTGCAGAGCAATCTGCAGTTAACGGCAGTTGCCCTGCCTCTTCCTCTTTGGTAACTAGATGACCAGCAGATCCTGTCAGCATTCCTCTACACACATTCCAGAAGTCAGCATTAGCTCAGCAAGCTAAACCTTGGTTTCCTCTGTAAATCTGGAACCTTAGCCACAATTAAGGTAAGAAACCATGGTTAAACACTACCCTGTTAACCAGGTCTTTGGACTTAATTTTAGGCTTCTTTTATTTGACAACAAACTGCAATAGTATGAACATTTGGATTAACAGGAATTTTATAAAGTACTGGGGATATCTAAAGGGTGCAATACTCATTTTAAAAAGCTATTATTCAGCCACAGTTTAATAGTTCCAAGGTCTTCATCTTTCTCAAGTAGAGTATGAAAGGGTCAATTTTTACAAAAGACACAAAGACATGACCACCTTTATAGCAGGAATAACAAAGCCTGCAGAATATAAGCCTCTGACAGGTAGAATTCATAGAGAGATGAGCTATTCAATGGCCCCCCCATCCTACCCTGTAAAGTTTTTTTTAATGCTGTGGTCTGAGAGGCACTTTTTGTCAGCATGCCTTTGTGTCAAAGGAGCTGAGGCTGTTTTATTTTCACCTCTGGCAGGCTATTCTGTTCCATAAAATGATAAGGTTAAGGTTGACACTCTGTTGGGTTTTGACCATTGAAACTTCTGAATCTGAAGCAGTAAAAAGACAAGGACAACGAAGCCACCCCTGTGAGCAAGTAAGAAAAATGAACCTTTGGAAAAATAATGTTTCACAGAGCCAGTAGGCACAAGTATATATTTATTTGTCGTTTATACCCCACATTTCTCTCCAACAAGGACCCAAAAGCATTGTCCACGGTTGTCCCCCCATAAGAACATAAGAGACGCCAATGTTGGATCAGGCCAAAGGCCCATCCAGTCCAACATTCTGTGTCACACAGTGGCCAGAAATACCAGTGCCATCAGGAGGTCCAACAGTGGGGCCAGGACATTAGAAGCCCTCCCACTGTTGACCCCCCCAAACACCAAGAAGACAGAGCATCACTTGCCCCAGAGCCCCTATCTATACCATGTGGCTAATAGCCACTGATGGACCTCTGCTCCATATGCTTATCTAATTCCCTTTTGAAGCCGTCCATGCTTGTAGCCGTCACCACTTCCTGTGGCAGTGAATTCCACCTGTTAATCACTCTTTGGGTGAA